GTGCCACACATCTGATTCAGTTCCCTGTAAGCAATGTATATCAGGCCCTGCTCCAACAAATGTAGAACTAGTTGTATTTAATATCAGGTCTCTGGGTAATAAGTCAGCAAACAAGACTGAATAGCTTCATGCATGAGAGTTTATTCTCTACAGAGGAGGCGCAACCTCCTCCTCAGAGCACAGGGGTTGTGCCCAGAACAGTGAATACAGGGCAACTTTTTACCTACACTCAGACGACAGGATGATGAGAAATCAATTGTAGCTTTCTTGGGCTTTCTTGATTTACTTATGTTCTCTTGATTATATCAGAGGAACATACCTACTGCAACATGTTAGGTATTCGGCTGTATCTGTTAGACAGTCAATGGACTGTGTTTGAAGGCGAAATTATAGTGAATGTTAAATCTCTTGATGATGTGAAGTAACATCAGATAGATACAAAGGGGAATGTAAAGGTCAAACACTTACAAACACATGAGAAGAATGAAACAATACACTGCAGCGTTATCCTATGTAACACACTTTACACTGTCCTACATGTCATGTAAAGTCTTGTGTATTGAGGTTACTTGAGGTTAATTAAAGGAACAGAGGCATGATGAATATGTTTATGAATTTATTTTCGATGTTTTGATGTTTTTTTGCTGCTCATTAAAGATAAAGTACTGCAGGCCACATCTAGCTTACAGTGTAGACTACACACGTTTTTAATTTGGAAAAATTCATGTACAGCTTGAAAACAGCTCTTGATAAACTATAAACCGATAAAGAGCAAAGCGTGTTTGTCTGACTGAGTGCCAGTAGATAACTCAGAGGGTGTAGCTCTCTGATACAAACGCACCCTCCTCTCTGCACTTCTTGTAAACCAGCTGCTTTCACTGATAATGGGGCCGAGGAAACAGGACAAACAGGACAGACACTGACTGGTTATCGTGGCTCCCAGCAGACATTTTCATTGGTCACTTCACTGACTGTACAGTAAGGAGCTGAACTTTGTACAACTCTGACACTGTGCGGCTGTGCAGAGAAAGAAGTTAAACCTTCTCGCAGAGTAACAACGATCAAAGTGCCTCATACGGTAAGAGATATATTTACAGCTAATCCATGCTTATTACTGCAGCTCTATGTAACACAGTTTGCACTGCTCTACATGTAATGTGTAAGTAGTATAAGATAATAAGGTTACAATAACCATCATAGGGAACAAAACATAACTAATAAAATTTCTGAATTCATTTTGCATGTTTGGTGTTTTTTGCTGCCAAAAATACATCATTGACTGGAGGCAACAATTTATCCTGCAGTGTAGACTGCACAGTCATTAATTTCGAAAAATTCATGTATTGACAATGCAGTCTCCTAACTTTGCATAATACAACTGTATTAAAATCAGCCTCATTATATTTAATTCATTATTAGATAAAGGGTGAACTTACTACAAATGCAAAATACTACAGTGATTTTCTGTTTTCTATATTTTTCAGGGAGCACTATGGATAATCCATTTGAAAATGAACACATTAAAAAAATTAAAGAGGAGCTGCAAACCAATGGACCTGACGCAGCAGCTGCAAAGATCCAGGAGTATTTGGATGAGCGGGATAATATTCCACTTAATATTGCAATCACTGGAGAGACAGGCTCTGGTAAATCCACCTTTGTTAATGCCTTCAGAGGCATACTAGATGAAGAGGATGAGAGAGCTGCTCCTGCTGGTTGTGTAGAAACCACCTTAGAGGTTTCACCATACCCCCATCCCAACTATCCCAATGTCATACTATGGGATCTTCCTGGTATTGGCACCTCTGAGTTTCCAGCTGATGAGTACCTGGAGCATGTTGGATTTGAAAGGTTTGACTTCTTCATCATCATCTCAGCTGATCGCTTCAGAGAAAATGATGCAAAGCTCGCTCAGGAGATTCAGAAGATGGGGAAAAAGTTCTACTTCGTTTGTTCAAAGATTGACAATACCGTACGTGATGAGGAACGCCGCCTGAGGTCAAGGTTCAGCGAAGAAAGGACTCTTAAACAAATCAGGGACAACTGCATTCAACGTAAGTCTGAGGTTAGAGGGTGAAATCACAAATGCCTAAAACTCAAAGCTATATGCTACAAGGGCTACAAGGGCAAAAAATACATGGAACAGTCTGCCAACACTCATCAGAGACTGTGACACATATTGTTCATTTAAAATCACCTAAAATCATGGCTAAAAAATATCAAGTGTGTGACCATAGTCTGAAATGTATCCAACGTCTGAAGTGTGCCTTGTTTTTATGTTTGATGTATTGTTGTCCCTGTTTTCATATATTTGATGTGCTCTTATGAAGTGTGTTCTGTTGCATGTACTGTATTGCTGATCCTGTTTTAATGTATTGTATGTGTTTTCTGTAGTTTTCATCACACCTGCCCAGAGACAGTTGGGAATCAGCCAAGACAGCTAAACTGGCACATTTAGAGAACTGTTTGTTATTGTGCACTGTCCCTGTAATCTTAAACTGTATAAACAAATTAGACCATACTGATTTGGTGTTGCAGCAGGTGTGATCCTATCGCAGGATGGTCTCTCATTCTGTCTTGATTTCATCATTTGACTCTTCTGTTCTGTTTGTGACACAGGTCTTGAAAAATTAGATATTGCGTCTCCACAAGTCTTCCTGGTGTCCAGCTGTGAGCTCCACCTGTATGATTTCCATCTGTTAGAGGAGACCCTGGAGAGAGACATCCCTGCACAGAAGAGGAACACTCTGCTGCTGGTCATGCCCAATGTCAATCCTGAGATCATCAGAAAGAAGAAAGAGGCCTTTGGGTCTAAAATCAAGTACCTTGCCTCTGTATCTGCACTCATAGCAGCTGCACCAGTTCCTGGGCTCTCTTTTGCCACTGATATAGCCATGCTGGTTTCTACAGTCAGTCAATATCAGGTTACATTTGGTCTTGATAGCAAGTCACTGCAGAGTCTTGCTCTTAGTGCACATGTGCCTTTGGCAGATCTTAGATCAGTGATGACATCACCACTTTGTTTAAACGAAATAAACAAAGAGCTTATCATTAAGATGTTGTGCTTGTCTGTAAGTGATGCTGCATTAATGGCAGCAGAGGAAGGGTTCAGATTAATTCCATTAATTGGAATCCCAGCAGCAGCATCCCTCTCTTTTATCTCCACCTACAAAGCTCTTCATATTTTCCTCGACATGCTCGCTGAGGATGCACAGAGGGTGTCCAAAAAGGCCCTGGGTTTCAACACCTCAGTGTGATCATAAAGGTGAATGGAAATGTGGCACGATTAGAACTCTTAGTGTACAATGTAATCTTACTGTATGTACAGTGTACAAATCAGAGTGTTCTGATCATGTTGCATATTTAATCAAACACATTGAGCAAATCAGGTAGTGTAATGCTTACTGTCTGAATACTTTATATTAATCTGAATGAAATGAAGGCCTCTGAGTGATCAAATAAAATGTTCNGTGCCACACATCTGATTCAGTTCCCTGTAAGCAATGTATATCAGGCCCTGCTCCAACAAATGTAGAACTAGTTGTATTTAATATCAGGTCTCTGGGTAATAAGTCAGCAAACAAGACTGAATAGCTTCATGCATGAGAGTTTATTCTCTACAGAGGAGGCGCAACCTCCTCCTCAGAGCACAGGGGTTGTGCCCAGAACAGTGAATACAGGGCAACTTTTTACCTACACTCAGACGACAGGATGATGAGAAATCAATTGTAGCTTTCTTGGGCTTTCTTGATTTACTTATGTTCTCTTGATTATATCAGAGGAACATACCTACTGCAACATGTTAGGTATTCGGCTGTATCTGTTAGACAGTCAATGGACTGTGTTTGAAGGCGAAATTATAGTGAATGTTAAATCTCTTGATGATGTGAAGTAACATCAGATAGATACAAAGGGGAATGTAAAGGTCAAACACTTACAAACACATGAGAAGAATGAAACAATACACTGCAGCGTTATCCTATGTAACACACTTTACACTGTCCTACATGTCATGTAAAGTCTTGTGTATTGAGGTTACTTGAGGTTAATTAAAGGAACAGAGGCATGATGAATATGTTTATGAATTTATTTTCGATGTTTTGATGTTTTTTTGCTGCTCATTAAAGATAAAGTACTGCAGGCCACATCTAGCTTACAGTGTAGACTACACACGTTTTTAATTTGGAAAAATTCATGTACAGCTTGAAAACAGCTCTTGATAAACTATAAACCGATAAAGAGCAAAGCGTGTTTGTCTGACTGAGTGCCAGTAGATAACTCAGAGGGTGTAGCTCTCTGATACAAACGCACCCTCCTCTCTGCACTTCTTGTAAACCAGCTGCTTTCACTGATAATGGGGCCGAGGAAACAGGACAAACAGGACAGACACTGACTGGTTATCGTGGCTCCCAGCAGACATTTTCATTGGTCACTTCACTGACTGTACAGTAAGGAGCTGAACTTTGTACAACTCTGACACTGTGCGGCTGTGCAGAGAAAGAAGTTAAACCTTCTCGCAGAGTAACAACGATCAAAGTGCCTCATACGGTAAGAGATATATTTACAGCTAATCCATGCTTATTACTGCAGCTCTATGTAACACAGTTTGCACTGCTCTACATGTAATGTGTAAGTAGTATAAGATAATAAGGTTACAATAACCATCATAGGGAACAAAACATAACTAATAAAATTTCTGAATTCATTTTGCATGTTTGGTGTTTTTTGCTGCCAAAAATACATCATTGACTGGAGGCAACAATTTATCCTGCAGTGTAGACTGCACAGTCATTAATTTCGAAAAATTCATGTATTGACAATGCAGTCTCCTAACTTTGCATAATACAACTGTATTAAAATCAGCCTCATTATATTTAATTCATTATTAGATAAAGGGTGAACTTACTACAAATGCAAAATACTACAGTGATTTTCTGTTTTCTATATTTTTCAGGGAGCACTATGGATAATCCATTTGAAAATGAACACATTAAAAAAATTAAAGAGGAGCTGCAAACCAATGGACCTGACGCAGCAGCTGCAAAGATCCAGGAGTATTTGGATGAGCGGGATAATATTCCACTTAATATTGCAATCACTGGAGAGACAGGCTCTGGTAAATCCACCTTTGTTAATGCCTTCAGAGGCATACTAGATGAAGAGGATGAGAGAGCTGCTCCTGCTGGTTGTGTAGAAACCACCTTAGAGGTTTCACCATACCCCCATCCCAACTATCCCAATGTCATACTATGGGATCTTCCTGGTATTGGCACCTCTGAGTTTCCAGCTGATGAGTACCTGGAGCATGTTGGATTTGAAAGGTTTGACTTCTTCATCATCATCTCAGCTGATCGCTTCAGAGAAAATGATGCAAAGCTCGCTCAGGAGATTCAGAAGATGGGGAAAAAGTTCTACTTCGTTTGTTCAAAGATTGACAATACCGTACGTGATGAGGAACGCCGCCTGAGGTCAAGGTTCAGCGAAGAAAGGACTCTTAAACAAATCAGGGACAACTGCATTCAACGTAAGTCTGAGGTTAGAGGGTGAAATCACAAATGCCTAAAACTCAAAGCTATATGCTACAAGGGCTACAAGGGCAAAAAATACATGGAACAGTCTGCCAACACTCATCAGAGACTGTGACACATATTGTTCATTTAAAATCACCTAAAATCATGGCTAAAAAATATCAAGTGTGTGACCATAGTCTGAAATGTATCCAACGTCTGAAGTGTGCCTTGTTTTTATGTTTGATGTATTGTTGTCCCTGTTTTCATATATTTGATGTGCTCTTATGAAGTGTGTTCTGTTGCATGTACTGTATTGCTGATCCTGTTTTAATGTATTGTATGTGTTTTCTGTAGTTTTCATCACACCTGCCCAGAGACAGTTGGGAATCAGCCAAGACAGCTAAACTGGCACATTTAGAGAACTGTTTGTTATTGTGCACTGTCCCTGTAATCTTAAACTGTATAAACAAATTAGACCATACTGATTTGGTGTTGCAGCAGGTGTGATCCTATCGCAGGATGGTCTCTCATTCTGTCTTGATTTCATCATTTGACTCTTCTGTTCTGTTTGTGACACAGGTCTTGAAAAATTAGATATTGCGTCTCCACAAGTCTTCCTGGTGTCCAGCTGTGAGCTCCACCTGTATGATTTCCATCTGTTAGAGGAGACCCTGGAGAGAGACATCCCTGCACAGAAGAGGAACACTCTGCTGCTGGTCATGCCCAATGTCAATCCTGAGATCATCAGAAAGAAGAAAGAGGCCTTTGGGTCTAAAATCAAGTACCTTGCCTCTGTATCTGCACTCATAGCAGCTGCACCAGTTCCTGGGCTCTCTTTTGCCACTGATATAGCCATGCTGGTTTCTACAGTCAGTCAATATCAGGTTACATTTGGTCTTGATAGCAAGTCACTGCAGAGTCTTGCTCTTAGTGCACATGTGCCTTTGGCAGATCTTAGATCAGTGATGACATCACCACTTTGTTTAAACGAAATAAACAAAGAGCTTATCATTAAAATACTGGCCTGTTCTATGGCTGACATGGCATTAATGGCAGCAGAGGAAGGGTTCAGATTAATTCCATTAATTGGAATCCCAGCAGCAGCATCCCTCTCTTTTATCTCCACCTACAAAGCTCTTCATATTTTCCTCGACATGCTCGCTGAGGATGCACAGAGGGTGTCCAAAAAGGCCCTGGGTTTCAACACCTCAGTGTGATCATAAAGGTGAATGGAAATGTGGCACGATTAGAACTCTTAGTGTACAATGTAATCTTACTGTATGTACAGTGTACAAATCAGAGTGTTCTGATCATGTTGCATATTTAATCAAACACATTGAGCAAATCAGGTAGTGTAATGCTTACTGTCTGAATACTTTATATTAATCTGAATGAAATGAAGGCCTCTGAGTGATCAAATAAAATGTTCATTGAAATGTACTAAAATTAGTGATTTTGTCTTTACATTATCTTAGTGAGCTCTCCATCTCATGTTCTGTAAGGTTGTACAAACAAAATATTCTGTTCCCACATTACCGTCTTGTAGACGTATGCTGTCTTTATGGTATATTAACATATTTAGTTAAAATGTACACATTCATAATTATTAACTGTATGTTCTCATGAATGTTTTTCATTCATTCTGACTGTGCTCATATCTTACAGAAAAAGTTACTGGTTCCTGTGACTTTGAAAAACTCCTCATAGAATAAATAAATAAATAAACTGACAGTCACCATCTTGTAGTTGAGAGATCTCATTGTTTTGAGTTTTGGACACTTGCCGGTGTTTCCATTATGGGATACGTATTAAAATAGTTCAAGTCATTATTCAGAGGACGGTCCCTCGAGCTGATGATGCACAACCATCACTGCAGCCTGCAGCAGATGAGCAGATGCAGTGCAGAAGATGAACCATTAGTTCCTTCTGGGCCTTCAAATGCATCTCTTGAAAAAAAAATTAATAATAGAAATAATGACCACTTTTGGCCAGCATTTATACCCACTTTAATATGAGACACTGACAACTGATGTGTTTCATGATTTATGTATTTATGTATTTATGTATAAAACAGTTGACACCAGGCCTAAACTGAAAGTTGCTGGCCTGACATTAAACATTAAAAACATGCAACAAAAGCAAATATGTTCATCAAACAACACAACTTTGTATTCTTTCAATCAGTCAACACACATTGGATAACAAAATACAACATACAGCTATCAATATGAATCGGTTTGGCCTTGCAGTTCTTTGTGCTCTGTACCTGTTGATACGTTACATAGTTATAGTGGGCGCCAAAAAAAGGCAAGCAGGCAGATCACAGCATGAACTGTAGTCTTTTCCTCTTCAATCCATGCTTACAAATAGCGACACAGGTGTTTTGCACAGGTGAATTACAGATTGATGATTATGCAAGTGATTTCTATCAGCTGTTAATATGTTTTCATTTAGTGTAACACAGTTAATCCAATCAAGTTTTGGGTCTTTGTTTGAGATCTGTGTTAACTGTTTTGAAAAAGGGTGTGAAAAAGTTTTAATGCATTTGCAAGACAAGACTTCTGCTGCGCTAGGTGAAGGTGATGATGAAGATCAAGTGGATTCCAGTTTCACTTAGCGTGTCTAAGCAATTGAGAAAAAACTGTAAACTTGTGTGCAGGTCTTTCCGTGCCCGCCGACTGTCGTACAGTAAGCATGACAAATTCAGACATTCTTTATGGAACAGCTTCTGTACTGCCTATGTTCTTCAACAAAGAGACAATAAAGAATGACATTCAAACTCAGAAATACAAAGGAAGATTTTTGTCATGTCAGTCTTTTTTGCTGGACTGCAACAGCCACACATCAGGTTTGTCTTTTTTCCATACTTTTCAAACTCAGAAATGCTGAATACTTGGATTCCCTGTGCCATGACCTCTTCTTGTCCTAATGTGCCTTTGGCCTCTTTGATGAATGCTCGCAAACAGCAACACAGAGCTGATATCTTTTCTAGATGGGTGAGGACTGGTTGCTGATTGAAGAGCTGTGCAAAGGATTTTCATACAGATGCATTAGAGATTTATAATTGTGCAAGTCATTTCTATGAGCTGTGAATACATGTTTTCCTTCTGTTTAACACAGTTAATCCAATAGAGTTTGAGGTTTTTCAGTAAGATCTGTGTGAACTGTTTTCAAACAGCCGGGTCTCAACAAATGGCGTATGAATAACACCCAGTTTTTAAAGTCATTTTGCATGTTATCACTACGCATTTTAGGCTTTTCGTGTGTCATTTAACGCTGTTTATTCCTCATAGATTTACATTGCAACCCAGCACACGTCACGTGACTGTTAACTTTCTGTCTGTGAAAACAAAACAAAATGGCTGACATTGATAACATTTCTAGAAATGTCCTATTTATTCTATTAATCTTTGTTCAGTGAATGTTTATGAAGTTTTGTTTGTTAATTATTACAAAGATTTTCAGGTTAGGTCTCGCCAGGTTGCTATGATGGTTGCCATGGACGCAACCCAGTCTCATGGCACTAGTAATGAAATTTAATCTATAGATTCCTGTACATAGACACAAATTTTCCATGTTTTTGTGTCACTCAGCACAACTTTTAAATGTATTTCAACTGAAATATTTTTCGTGCCTGCAGCACGTTTTTGGTAGGGACTCAGGAGCACACAAGCTTTGTTTTTTTCTCATTTGTTATTCTTTTTTTTCTTCTTTTTTAACTATAACCGCTACATTACTCAACATTTAATCACAATATTTTATCCTTGTTTTTCTTTCTTTCTTTCTTTCTTTTTTATTTTATAAGTCAGGTGGGCAGGGGCAGACCGGAAGACCTGCGGCCCGGAAGTAGCCTATTTCCTCACTGTGTTAAGGTTTTCTTTTAATGATATTTTTAACATTTCCCAACACAAAAACACTAAAGCGTCCTTGATAACTCATCAATATGATGGGATAATGGCCATCGGTTTGAAATATTTATCCTTCTATTCTGAGAAATAAAGTTGTTTTTATCAGTTTTTAATAAGGGAAGGCTAGGGAAGTGTGATTGTGTTGTGGGCGCGTTCCACTTCTGTTTTGGGTTGTCTGCTGGCAGTGGACTTCATTCCATTTCAAATTGCCACCATCGGCTGCAACTCTGTTAAGAAAAGGTGTTTTATAGCCTGTGATTGTAAAATGTGAAGTTGATCGTTTAATTTTATATTTTCAAGAATATGTGGCTGATGCTGCAGCCAGCTGTGGGCAACAAACAAAGCATCAATACTGAAGTTTCTGTGAAATCCTGGATACACTCAGTGACACCCAGGGCTGGACTGAGATATAAAATCCACCCTGGACTTTTGCCCAGGCCAGCCCACCACAATCAGCTGGACATCAGGTGAGCCCTGAGTACAAGTACATGAAATAATACAAACACAATAAAACAAATAATATATACCCAAGATAAAACCATGAGACACATTTAAAAACATTATGTTACATTCATCTTTATATTATTATTATGGTTTTTAATTTGTTACATGATAAAAGGAATTGGAGTTGTAGGGAATTTTGTAGATCATTCCATTTGTGTGATGCTTCAAACCTAAATGATGTTTTTCCTAGTTCAGTATTTACATGTGGGACTTCTAATGTTAATTTGCTCTGACCACAGGTTATATTTGCTGGTTTTATATTGGAGTAGAGTGCAGATAGACTTATATACAAACAATATGCGATGTTGGGCCCTCCTTACACTGAGGGAGGACCAACCTACTTTCTTATAATCACAGTGGTGTTTTTTTTCACTTGACATGCTGCTGTGTTGTGCTATGGCCTATTCAAGTGCTGGAATTTGTTACTGTGTTTACGTGACAACGCCTGAACGCAACACAGGCTCCGCTCCATTAGTGCCATGCTGCGGGTTCAGGCCGGGCTCGGTTATAATTGTCTCGGAGTTGGGTCGGGTTCAGTCAGGAAAATGTGGCCTGAGCCGTGAGCATCAGGGCGAAACTCTGCCATGCGCGATACAGAGAGCAGAGGAGAATTGTACACGCGCTACCATGTAGAGACAGAAATGACATGCCATCATGTAAATAAGATAAATAACATAAGGCTATTTAGTTTGTTTAATTAAAGGACAGGGTAGGCTATAGACCTGTTCTATAGGCCTAGATATGAAGCGTCTGTAGCACCAAATAATACGGTAGTTTCTAAAGAGCTAAGACAAAAAAAAAAAAAAAAAAATCATGCAATCATATTTCAGCAGCAGCAGTGCGCTGCATATTGTAGCATATGACATTCCTGGGGTAGTGTTTGTCAAAAGAATGAAGTCTATTTGGTCAGAGATATATTTTTCAAATGATGTCTGTGTTAGTAATAGTGTGTCAAGTTGCCATGAGCGCTGGGGTATAGAGCTGTTTGGAAGTGACATGTCCAGCTATACAGGGGAGTGATCAGAAATTGTTGTACTATGATATCTGCTATGGGTTACAAAGGACATTGTTCTATAATCAATTAGGAAAATGTCGATTCTAGTATATGAAAGGTGGACTGGTGGAAAAAAAGAAAACTGTCTGGCAGAGGGGTTGGTGTGTCTCCAAGGATCGTATAATCTATATGATTGCATGAAAGACACCTTGGACACCTTCCTGTTTTGTTTAGGAGTAGATTTGTCTAAGGCTGGCTGTAACATGCAGTTAAAGTTTCCCCCTAATATCAACAAATGCGAATTAAGGTCTGGGAGGCTCTTCTCCATGTCGGTCGTGGTATTTTGTAGCGAGGCTAGCTCTTTAGCAACTGAGCTCTGGTAGGATTGCAGTTCAGTTTTTACTGTGTTTATGTCTCCTCGAAGCTCCGCCATCTCCCTCTCCAGCACCTCTCTGATTTCTAGCTTGATAATATGTCCGATATCTTTGCGTAGTGACTTAAGAAGCTCACGCCTGAAAGTCTCCGTGGCTATCGCTGAGGTCATGTCGACGGGAGTCGGGTTAACACTCCCGCGTGGGGGTGAGCCGGAGGTTGTTGTAAGAAAACATTTTCTTTCACATGAAACCTGAATGTAACATTGAAAGTCTGTCAGACAACAACACACCAGGCTGCCTTTGTTGAAAGTCAGCTCCCTTACAGATATCACTGAAGTCTCCACGGCAGGAAACACATGAAGGTTCTTTGGTTCAGACTCTCTGCCCATCACAGCAGGATATTAAAACTGTCACTGTCTAAAGAAACAGAATTCCAGTATAAAAAGGAGTTAAATCAACTATATAATGATTCCATGATTGGGCTGCTGTGGTCCTTCCTGATGCCTACTACTACTACTGATGTAATTATAAGTATATATATATATATATATATACTATCATATACAGTGACATGCAAAAGTTTGGCATCTCAATCTTTTCCAGTTTCAAAACAATTAAAAAAGAAAAGGGCCTGATGCAAAAGCTTGAGCACGCTGCATGGTCAGTACGTGGTCGCCCCCGTTAGCAAGTATCACAGTTTCGCAACACTGTTTATAAACAGTTAAGAGTCTTTCAGTTCTTGTTTGGAGGATTTTCACCCATTCTTCCTGCAAAAGGCTTCGAGTTCTGTGAGATTCTTGGGCCGTCTTACTTGCACTGCTCTTTTGAGGTCTATCCACAGATTCTTAATGACATTAAGGTCGGGGGACTGTGGGGGCCATGGCAAAACCTTCCGCTTTGTCTTCTTGAGGTAGTCCATTGCAGATTTGGAGGTGTGTTTAGGATCATTGTCCTGTTGTAGAAGACATCCTCTCTTCATCTTCAGCATTTTTGCAGACGGTGTGATGTTTGTCTCCAGAATTTCCTGGAATTTAACTGAATGCATTCTTCCCTCTACCCATGAAATGTTCCCCGTGCCACTGGCTGCAACACAAGCACTAAGCATGATCCATCCACCCCTGTATTTATCAGTTGGACAGGTGTTCTTTTCGTGAAGTGTCACGAGAATGTTGAAATCTGACCTGGATCAAGACAAAGAGGACCAGCACTATGAAGGAGCTGTCAGGCACCCATAAGCCTGATCCTGGCCTGTCTCACAACTCATCTAATGTGAAACACAGAGTGTGTGTGTGAGTGAGTGTGTTGTTTTTTCACATCATATATTATGCTCTTTATTAGAATGGACTGACGCACACTAATTACAAAAGCTTCCGACAACAAAAATGACTGATGAATACCAAAAGCACTGAAGTCTCATTCACCTGCAGACAGCATCCAGCAGGGGGTGCTGCCTGCAGCTCTCCATGTTTCTTGCAAATGTGTGTGTTTCTTGGAAGTCAGCTGATTTATAGCTGACCAATCAGTTTTCTGTCACTCATAGTGGGACATTTTCATTGGTCACTGTCAAAACTCTGACCAACTTTCCTAAAAGTAAAGTAAAGAAGTAAAGAAACTGGGAGGTGGACTTTTTTCGCAGCTGAACAGCTCAAAGCAACTCATCGGCTGGTGTCCTCTTGTCTCATTTGTTTCAACATTAAGACTCCAGGTGAGTAGCTTCTAATATTCAGCAAAAGCCCACTTTATTTTGATGAAACATACACTGAACTGATGTGGTGTGTGTGTGTGTGTGAGAGGTTATACTGCATCATGATATGAGGGGATTTATAAAGATGCGACACGTCAGATTTTCATTGTATTTATTATTCCATATACATGATGTTAGATCAGTCTAATAGCCTACTACATTTTTTACTATTTCCCAAAAGACAATATGGCTTTTTACTTCTCTTGTACTCCAGTTATCAAGGATTACCATGGAGAGTGGACAATGGACTGAAGACATTAAAAAAGCACTAGAAAATAATGATCAGGCCTTAGCTGTAAAAAGGGTCCAGGAGTATTTGGACAAGGAGAATAATACTCCAATAAATATTGCAGTCACAGGAGAGTCTGGCTCTGGTAAATCCACCTTCGTTAATGCCTTCAGAGGCATAAATAACGAGGATGAGGGAGCTGCTCCTACTGGTTGTGTAGAAACCACCACAGAGGCTACACCATACCCCCATCCCAACTATCCCAATGTCACACTGTGGGATCTTCCTGCTATTGGAAGATTTCCAGTTGACAAGTACCTGAAGCTTGTTGGATTTAAAAGGTTTGACTTCTTCATCATCATCTCAGCTACTCGCTTCAGAGAAAATGATGTGAAGCTCGCTCAGGAGATTCAGTGGATGAAGAAAAAGTTCTACTTTGTTCACTCCAAGATTGACAATGACATATATCATGAGAAAAGATGCCAGAGGTCAAAGTTCAACGCAGAAAGGACTCTTCAACAAATAAGGGACAACTGCATTCAGGGTAAGTGACTTATGTAACCACATATAAAAATAGTGAGATTAATTACAAAATGCTCAAGCAACATAACTATGTTGTCCAGCTGAGGTCCACACTGAAGGGTTAGGGGTAGTGACACAACTTTCAGTATAAAGAGCAGTTACCTGGTAGAAGGAGACATAAGGGAGCACTTGGTCACTGAGGTGGTGAAGAGGTTGAGCCATTGTTGGACAGTTCACATTTCTTTTGACAGAGATCCCAGTCAGCAGCAGATGTTTACTGGGACAAACTGACCTGCACAGAAAATCATGACTGTTGAGACACTGTTATCCTTTGCACTCATCATTTAGGCTCATAGATCAGACTGATGTTTTTGTATTAAATGCTGATGTTGTTATTTTAAAATTTTGTAAAGATAAGCTTCAACATCATCTGTGAATCATGAAGTCCAGTGAATCAGATATACACGCAGTACTAAGAATGTTAGTTGCTGTGACGTTTAACTTTCTGACTTAGTTTTGATCTTTGTTGAATTGATTTATTTGATGGAGGATAAAATATATTTTGCAAATATAAACAACATATTGTATTAATGAGCTGTTGTTCTGATAATTAAATATTACTGTCTAAAATAGTTTTCTAGTCTAACCTTCACTGTATCGATGATAGAGTGAAGACAGGTCTTCTGTCTTTTTATCATTACTCAAATTTTATCAGAGACACTTTTCCAAAAAGTTTTTAGTAATTAAAGAAAAAATAAAACTATAAAACCTAGTTCTACTTTTGTATTTGCAATATCTGAGAAAATGTAAGCACACATTAAAACTTTAAACCAAATCACAGACTGTCATTAATACCACTCTGCTGGCTCTCTTGATTGTTTTTAAATTGAGATTTTACATAAATGCTAATAAAGTGAAAAGGGATTTGGAGGAGGTGAGTTCAGAAGTGAGTTAAAAAAACAAACTCATATATGGGCCTCTGACTGTAATATAACATTTGAAGAAGGTTTCAGAGTGATGTCATTTTATATTTTTAGTGTCCACTAAATCAAAGCAAATGATGCAGAGAAAAAAAATAGATAATGTGTCCCTAGATAGACATGTTACATTTTAAAAGTTCTAATTGTTTTGTATATCTTATCATCATATCATGTATTCCTGTTGTCACACAGTTCTTCAAAGACAAGGCGTTGAGTCTCCTCAAGTCCTCCTGGTGTCCAGCTTTCATCTCCACCTGTATGACTTCCCTCTCTTAGTGAACACCTTTGTTTCAACATTCAGACTCCAGGTGAGTAGCTTCTAATATTCAGCAAAAGCCTACTTTATTTTGATGAAACATACAGCTGCTTCTCCCTGTCTAAAACAGGCACATTACAATATAGAGGATCCACTGTAATTGTGCTAATGTGAGTAGATTTCACCCTCCTCTGTGTTATTATATACACACCTTAGAATGCTAAACTGATGTGGTGTGTGTGAGGTTATACTGCATCATGATATGAGGAAGACAGGATTACTAAAGATGTGTCACGTCAGATTTTCATTGTATTTAATATTCTACCTACATGATGTCAGATCATTCTATCACTACATTAATTACTATTTATCAAAAGACAATAACGACTTTTAATTTCTCTTTTACTTCAGTTTTCAAGGATTACTATGGAGGATCCATCTGATCTCAAATCAACTGAAGACATAAAAATAGCATGAGAAAGCAGCAATCGGGCCTTAGCTGTAAGAATGATCCAGGAGTATTTGGACAGGAAGAAAAATATTCCACTAAATATTGGCTCCACAGGAGAGTCTGGCTCTGCTAAATCCACCTTCGTTAATGCAAAAACAAAAACACTAGAAAGCAATAATCAAGTCTTAGCTGAAGAAGTTATACAGGAGTATCTGGACAAGGAGAATGATATTTCACTAAATATTGCCGTCACAGGAGAGTCTGGCTCTGGTAAATCCACCTTCATTAATGCCTTCAGAGGCATAAATAACGGAGATGAGGGAGCTGCTCCTACTGGTCCTGTAGAAACCACCTCAGAGGTTACACCATACCCCCATCCCAACTATCCCAATGTCACACTGTGGGATCTTCCTGCTATTGGCACTCCCAACTTTCCAGCTGACAACTACCTGAAGCTTGTTGGATTTGAAAGGTTTGACTTCTTCATCATCATCTCAGCCACTCGCTTCAGAGAAAATGATGTGAAGTTCGCTCAGGAGATTCAGAGGATGGGGAGAAAGTTCTACTTTGTTCGTTCAAGGATTGACACTGACATACACGATGAGGAAAGATGTCAGAGGTCAAAGTTCAACGCAGAAAGGTGTCTTGAACAAATCAAGGAAAACTGCACACAAGGTAAGTGACTGATGTTATCACATATGGTAATGATGAAATTTATTACAAAATGTGCATAATTAAAAACAAGTCACAAAGAAGCTATTAAAGAACTATGTGTCTTTAAGTCAGTTCTTATGTTTGTCTCAAATTCACTTCATTCTGTTTAATTTGAAGTATTAATGTCTCAAAATAAAAAAGTCAGACAGCTTTCAGTATAAAGAGCAGTTACCTGGTAGAAGGAGACATAAGGGAGCACTTGGTCACTGAGGTGGTGAAGAGGTTGAGCCATTGTTGGACAGTTCACATTTCTTTTGACAGAGATCCCAGTCAGCAGCAGATGTTTACTGGGACAAACTGACCTGCACAGAAAATCATGACTGATGAGACACTGTTATCCTTTGCACTCATCATTTAGGCTCATAGATCAGACTGATGTTTTTGTATTAAATGCTGATGTTGTTATATTAAAATTTTGCAAAGAAAAGCTTCAACATCATCTGTGAATCATGAAGTCCAGTAAATCAGATATACACGCAGTACTAAGAATGTTAGTTGCTGTGACGTTTAACTTTCTGACTTAGTTTTGATCTTTGTTGAACTGATTTATTTGATGGAGGATAAAATATATTTTGCAAATATAAACAACATATTGTATTAATGAGCTGTTCTCATAGACATGTATTACTGTCCAAAAAAGTCGTAAGTTTTTCTCAAGTCTGTACAGATGATACAGTGAGAGAATTGTCTCTCAAGTCTTGTGTCACTTTATTTTCACAGACACCTTTATAAACCGTTTATAATATATACATTTTTTAAATCACAAAGTAAAATTATTAACAGTTCTGCTTTTGTATTTGTAATATCTGAGAAAATGTAAGCACACATTAAAACTTCAAATCACAGACTCATTAATACCACTCTGCTGCCTCTCTTGACTGTTTTTAAATTGAGATTTTACATAAATGCTAATAAAGTGAAAAAGGGGTTTGGAGGAGGTGAGTTCAGAAGTGAGTTCAAAAAATAAAACTTCCTGTGGACCTGTAATTTTAATATAACATTTGAAGAAGGTTTCAGATTGATGTCATTTTATATTTTTAATGTCCACTAAATCAAAGCAAATGAAAGAAAGAAAAATAGATAATGTGTCCCTAGATAGACATATTGCAGTTTAAAAGTTCTAATTGTTTTATATATCTTATCATCATATCATGTATTCCTGTTGTCACACAGGTCTTCAAAGACAAGGCGTTGAGTCTCCTCAAGTCTTCCCGGTGTCCAGCTTTCATCTCCACCTGTATGACTTCACTCTCTTAGGGGACACCTTTGAGGGAGAACTTCCTGCACACAAGAAGCATGCTCTGCTGCTGGCCATGCCCAACATCAGCCTGGAGGTCATTGACAAAAAGAAAAAGGCTTTTCATGCCCAAATTAAATACTATGCTATGCTTAGTGCAGGTGTAGCAGCTGCACCAGTTCCTGGGCTTTCTGTTGGAGTTGATGTGGGTGTGTTGGTTTCTGTTGTTACACAGTATGTAAATGGGTTTGGGCTTGACGTCCTGTCTTTACAGAGACTTGCTGACAGTACACATGTGCCACATGATGAACTGATTGCCACCATAGTTTCACCACTGGCTGCAGTTAAAATAACCCCTGGTCTTGTGTTGAAGGTGCTTTCTCAGTGTGCAGGCACAGCTGCATTAATGGCAGCAGAGGAAGGGTCCAGATTTACTCCAATATTGGGAATCCCTGCAGCAATGAGTCTCTCTTTTATCTCCACCTACAGAGCTCTCAATTATTTCCTTGACACACTTGCTGAGGATGCACAGAGGGTGTTTATAAAGGCACTGGGTTTGGACACCTCAGTGTGATTTTGTGAGGTGAATGGCAGTGGTGTTTAATGGCACATTAAATACTGCAGAGAAAGAGCTTTTGGATTTTTCTTTTAATAAATTGCATTGTTTTTTAATAAGCACTGTATTCAAGTCACAATATTGTATTCTAGCTGCACATTTTAGCAACCATGCATCACAGGTTTTGCAGCTGATCACTCCATCAGTGGCTCCTANGCAATATTCATTGCCTTATAGAAGCTCAGTTTTAGTAAGTTTTCCAACTTTTACCAAGAGGGAACTTTAGATATTGGTCCCTAGATTATGTTCACTGAGTTTCATGCAGATCGGTCAAACTTCCTAGGAAGAGATCGATTTGAAGTGTTTTTCAAAAAATTCAAAATGGCGGAAAATCTATATAACCGGAAGTTATGAGTTCTCGAGGCAAATGTGTTCCTCATGAGGAGAGGCATCTCTGTGCAAAGTTTCATGTCTCTACGACATACGGGGCATGAGATATGCCCATTCAAAGTTTGCAATTTCAATCACTTGCTATAGTGCCCCCCTTTGGCCAATTGATGTAATATTGCTTCATTCGCATCCTCCCATGACCCTCTACCACTGTGCCAAATTTCACATGGATTGACCAAGTCAGTGAGGAGAAAAACGTGGAACAGACACACAGACAGAGTTTTCGTCATTATATAGAAAGATAAGATGGGAGGTCTTGTGTAATGTGAACATGTGGGGGCGCTGTGGGGGTATCAGGGTGTATTTATTCTCGTGGCAGCAGAGCAAGAAGTTGATTAAAAGTTGCTCATACAGTACACAGTTTGTCTCATGGTATAAACTTAAAATACACGACAGGACAAACTGACCTGCACAAAAAATCATGACTGATGAGACACTGTTATCCTTTGCACTCATCATTTAGGCTCATAGATCAGACTGATGTTTTTGTATTAAATGCTGATGTTGTTATATTAAAATTTTGCAAAGAAAAGCTTCAACATCATCTGTGAATCATGAAGTCCAGTAAATCAGATATACACGCAGTACTAAGAATGTTAGTTGCTGTGACGTTTAACTTTCTGACTTAGTTTTGATCTTTGTTGAACTGATTTATTTGATGGAGGATAAAATATATTTTGCAAATATAAACAACATATTGTATTAATGAGCTGTTCTCATAGACATGTATTACTGTCCAAAAAAGTCGTAAGTTTTTCTCAAGTCTGTACAGATGATACAGTGAGAGAATTGTCTCTCAAGTCTTGTGTCACTTTATTTTCACAGACACCTTTATAAACCGTTTATAATATATACATTTTTTAAATCACAAAGTAAAATTATTAACAGTTCTGCTTTTGTATTTGTAATATCTGAGAAAATGTAAGCACACATTAAAACTTCAAATCACAGACTCATTAATACCACTCTGCTGCCTCTCTTGACTGTTTTTAAATTGAGATTTTACATAAATGCTAATAAAGTGAAAAAGGGTTTTGGAGGAGGTGAGTTCAGAAGTGAGTTCAAAAAATAAAACTTCCTGTGGACCTGTAATTTTAATATAACATTTGAAGAAGGTTTCAGATTGATGTCATTTTATATTTTTAATGTCCACTAAATCAAAGCAAATGATGCAGAGAAAAAAAATAGATAATGTGTCCCTAGATAGACATATTGCAGTTTAAAAGTTCTAATTGTTTTTTATATCTTATCATCATATCATGTATTCCTGTTGTCACACAGGTCTTCAAAGACAAGGCGTTGAGTCTCCTCAAGTCTTCCTGGTGTCCAGCTTTCATCTCCACCTGTATGACTTCACTCTCTTAGGGGACACCTTTGAGGGAGAACTTCCTGCACACAAGAAGCATGCTCTGCTGCTGGCCATGCCTAATATCAGCCAGGACGTCATCGACAAGAAGAAAAAGGCTTTCCAGTCCAAAATAAAATACTATGCTACGCTTAGTGCAGGTGTAGCAGCTGCACCAGTTCCTGGGCTTTCTGCTGCAGTTGATGTGGGTGTGTTGGTTTCTGTTGTTACACAGTATGTAAATGGGTTTGGGCTTGATAAACCATCACTGCAGAGACTCGCTGACAGTACACATGTGCCATATGATGAACTGATTGCCACCATAGTTTCACCACTGGCTGCAGTTAAAATAACCCCTGGTCTTGTGTTGAAGGTGCTTTCTCAGTGTGCAGGCACAGCTGCATTAATGGCAGCAGAGGAAGGGTCCAGATTTACTCCAATATTGGGAATCCCTGCAGCAATGAGTCTCTCTTTTATCTCCACCTACAGAGCTCTCAATTATTTCCTTGACACACTTGCTGAGGATGCACAGAGGGTGTTTATAAAGGCACTGGGTTTGGACACCTCAGTGTGATTTTGTGAGGTGAATGGCAGTGACATTTAATGGCACATTAAAAACTGCAGAGAAAGAGCTTTTGGATTTTTCTTTTGATAAATTGCATTGTTTTTTAATAAGCACTGTATTCAAGTCACAATATTGTATTCTAGCTGCACATTTTAGCAACCATGCATCACAGGTTTTGCAGCTGATCACTCCATCAGTGGCTCCTGTATAAATATTTTTTTTCTCATATAAAAGCAAATATTAATGGAAAGTGTCTCACAGCTTGTACGCACTTTAAAACACGCCTCTTTATCCTTTTAAAACAGGAAAGTCACTATAACACTGAATAATTCGTATATGTTTTTAATTATTTTCTGGTTTATTACGATTTTTAATTATTTCTATATAACTTGGTAATCTATCTCACACTGTGTGTCATGAATATTAGAAACACTGCTGTCTTCTCTGATTGTTTTTATGTTCAGAAGTTCTTGATGTGTGTTGTGTCTTGTTGATGCCTGGAGATGGTGTAATGAGAGTTTGCTGCCCTCCAGTGGTCACTGGGAGGAACTACAACACAACGTCCTTCAAAGGAAATCACACCGCTACTGATTTTTCTGTTTGACTTTTTTCTCAACATATTACAAACCATCACTTTATCAAAGTTGTCGTTGATCCAACAGGATCCAACTTTGGAGCATGAGACATATTCTAACAGTGTTAGCATGTAGAAATCATTATCTCATCCTGCATCAGCACACACCACTGAGTTCCTTCTGTGTCAGTACACCTACGACCCAAACATTCATCTCAATAACTGATTGTGAAGGAAAGAACACAATCAGTTGTAAGGGACAAAAGTTTATTGTAACCCTACAAAAGACACAGGGGGAGGAAAAAAACAAAACACATCACACTTTGTACCCTTCTTTAGGCATGCAGGTCGACGCCAAGTGTGTGATTTGACAGATGTGAGAAACATTCCCCCCAATTTTGTCTTTAACACCAAGGCAGGTGACACAGACAGGTGAGGATTTCAAACTCAGTACACTCCTGATACGTATGAGTGTCCCCTCTTTCTGTCTGAGTCCCTGTAAATCCCATCTCTTGCCCTTTCCTCTCTTTCTTCTTCACACCATGT